TAGCAAATCGACTATAGATATTTCAAAAATCTATGAATTTTGGGTAGATTTTCTTATACAATACAACCTCTATAAATTGATAACATGTGGATCATGTAAATTTTATTAATTAAAATAATTGCTAATTTATTAATTTATAAATAATATATTAATCTATAGTGTTTTAAGGCTGTGGAGTGCACTTATAATTAGACGTGGGTGTGGATCGGGTCGGTTCGGTTCGGTTCTCAAAATTTTCGGATATCTAATAAATGGAACCGTCGGGTCTAAATATAATTATGAAACCATTCGGGTTTGGTTCCCTTCGGTTCAATTCGATCCGGTTCCGTACTATAATTAAATTTTTTAACATTTATAACAACATTATATAAATACAACTAATGACACATTTAATGGTTTTTGAATGTCAAAAACTAGTAGATTGCCTTATTCAAATAATTGCTATGGTCAAAATTTCGATCGATGGAGGTCACAGCTTCGATCAGAGATCATAGCGTTGACCGGCGATTATATAGGTTTTGGAATATCAAGGAAGCTGCAAGAGTGAGTACGAGAGTCGAGACATCGTCATGCACTTTAGTGTAGGTGTTTAGGGTTAGTTAGTGGGTTGGATCTTGTTGGACTAAGAAATGAAATAATAAAATGGGTAATTGGGCAAAAAATTAAAAAATTAGAAATAAAACAAATTATTGGGCCAAAAATTTGGATTTAGAAATTATTAATTTGTCAATTTGTTTAGAAAAAAGTAAATTTAAAATAATTTGATTTATTCAATATAAAAAAATTTAGAAATATTCGATTCTTATTCAATTTTTCGGTTCTTGGTCTAGAACCGAGAACCGAACCGTACCCGTTAGTTCTCAATTCAAATACTCGTTCGGGTATTTAATTTGATAAGAATCGTCGGGTTTGATTCGATTGGTTCGGTTCAGGAGATTTGGCCAACCCTACTTATAATTAATAGATATACATTTAGTGCTTGTTTGGTAGGGATTTTGATAATTAATTTTTTGATCTTTATAAATAAAGTGGGTTCTATCTGTACGAGAAGAATTTAAAAATGACGGTTGTACTAGTGAAATAACAGTAAAAAAAATTAATTTTAATTGAATTAAAATCTGTACCAAATAAACACTTATAACTAAATATTAATTGAATATTATCTTGTCAATGCTATATTTAATTATTTATCACATGCATTTATGTTATATGTTGGAATTATATTTGTAAAGTTGAAGTCTAGAATTAACACTTTTCGACCCAAAGGATAAAAATTACGGAAATTTAAAATTTTCATTTGTAATCTTTCAAACTGTTATTAATCTACTTAAACCTTTTCTTTAGTATCTAATATGCTCAACATTTCTTAAATGTAGCAAAACTCACTTTCTCCTAGAAATGTCAACGAGTCGAGTCAAGTTGGCTCGAGAAAAATGAGCGAGCTTTTTTTGGGGCTCGAGCCGAGTTTTTGTTCAGCCAAAAAAACTAGGCTCGACCTGAGCTTTCTACTCCGACCTTTCCGACCAAGCCGAGCAGACTTGATTTTGGTTTTGGTTTTGAATTTTTTTTTAAAGTTAAAAAAAAGGGAAACGTAGTTGAGTGCTGCCCTTTTTGACGGCAACAGCCTGTTGCCTTATCTCAAATGTTGCTACCTTTAGATTTTTTAAAAATAGATAAATATAGGCTCGTGACCCCGAGTCGGCGAGTCATACAGGACTGCTCGGGCTTTGCTTGACATCTCAAAATTGGGCTCAATTTTCCTGAGCTTCGAGTTGAGCCGGCTCGAGCTTTTTTCAGGTCAAGCCTGATTGTCATCCCTACTTTCTCCATCCATTTTGACAGTTAAAGCCACGTGAAATATTGAATTTACCCCAACTTTAAATAAACACACAAAAATGTAACTAAATAAAAAAAAATTAAAAGGAAAATTATAGTAGAAGTCCTAAATCTTTTCAAAATTACAAATAGATCACACTTAAAATACAATTGACAAAAAAATTTAAAAAAGGAAAGAAAAAAGGGCCTTGTTGCCGACCTCTGCCACCCAATCCACCCCCAAAATCCCCGCACAAACCACCGCCACTCTACTGCAACCACCGCCCCAAGTCCACAACCGCCCACCACCGCTCTCAGTTGTCCCCCATTTTTCTCTATAATTTGGAATGCCTGCTCCAATTTTGAAGTGTTCAAAGCATATTAAAAAAAAAAATTACTTTCAAAGAGTGACTACTATCGGAACAAGATGACAAATAAATTTTGTAATGTCAATATAACCACCAAAACCAAGAGGAGGATAACATAAAACTTAAGAGTAAATTTCTCGAGAGGTCCTGACTTTTTATAAGTTCGGCTACCATGTTCTAAACTTTCAGTTTATGTCACTCATATCCTCAATATTTTAAGACTATACAATTGATATATCCATAACTTCTATTTAGTCGTTAAATAGCCACATAGTGTGCATATGTTTCTTAAATAATAATGATACTTGTACATAATGGAGTTAATTAATAGTTTACATATAGATGAGTTGTCAAAAGTAGAGTAAATTTTATTTATTTGATTGAAAAAATTTTGATTCAATCATGTCTTGCCATATCACGTGCATGCAAATCATTATGTGAACCACAATTGTTGCTTAAAAGGATAAATTCTTATCCAAAAAAAGAAAAAAATTGAATGTATTTGAACAAAGGTAATTACATTCACAGAAGAATTTTATTTTTATTTTTATTTATTTTTCTTGCACCAAATTTTAATTGTAATCAAAGTCCTCAATATTTGCACATAAGTCCTCAATATTTGTACATTATTTGTTGAATTATTATCCCCAAATCTTCATTAATTAGCATATTTATTGATAATAATTTCCTTCCAAAAAATCCCTTAGGAACCGTAAAAAGACTTATTAATCCGTCATATTTCTAAATAAATAAAATATTACGATAAAATACTTTTTCTTGTGATATTTGGATAGAAATCATTATAAAGGACGATATATGCTAATTAATACGAGGTTAAAAGATGAGTGTTGACGAAAAAAGTTAAAAGCATAAGTGAAATAATGACAATAATATTGAGGACTTTAATACAATAAAAATTATCGTGACAATATAAACACCCTGGAAACAGTAACTATTTGATCTTGGTATAAAGGAAAAAATTTAGATAGTTTTATTATTTCAGCAAGACATTCCGTACATGTCGGATGGACATCGAATGCATAGTTATCATTAAAATTATTGGTTAATTACATCAATGATCATTGAAATTTGTCATATGTTACTACTTAATAACTGAACATAAAAATATATATCAATGGTCTATAAACTTTACGAGGTGTTACTACTTTACAACTGAAATTAAAAATATATATCAATGGTCACTAAACTATGTATCATGTTATACATCTATTACACAAATGGAAAAATCCGTTAATTTCAACAAATGGCGTCGACTTGAGTAATGGATAGATAACACGGTGTATAGTTCAGTGACCATTAAGATACATTTTTGAGTTCGATTTATGAAGTAGTAATACTTGACAAAATTTAGTAACTATTGAGACATATTTTAAAATTTGTAGTAACAATTTTTTTTCCTCAAATCGATCTCTTGAAAGATGAAACTGAAGAAAATGAAAAGAAAAAATTTATATTTTTATTCGATATATAGTCTCCATCACAACGAAAAGTACGTTTGATTTTTATATCAATTGGTATCAGTTTACCATATTTCGAATTTCGTATAAAAAGATTGAAAGAGAAACAATAAAAACACTAAATGAAAATGATAGAGAAAAATTAAAAAAAAATACAAAAATGTTTGAATTAGTGTCAATATAATTGAGGTCGATTAGATTTTCCAACTTTTCCCCCTTCATTTTCTTTAGTTTTTTGTTTCACACAAATCGATTTGAGGAAAAAGAAAATGGTTATTACTTAATAACCGAACTTAAAAAGCCCCTGCTTTTTAATGGTATACATTGGAGAATGTGTGATTAAAAAGTAATGAAATTTTATTGATTTTGTAGAATATTTTATTATGTGAATGTGTGGTGAAGAATATATTGTAAAAAACAATTTTAAATTTTAAACACCGTCAAATAGTCCTAAAATGTATTTCAATGGGCATTGAACTTTTCTAAGTATTATCACTTCATAACTGAACTAAAAAATGTATCTCAATGGTAACTTAACTATGCACCGTGTTCCCAATTTATTACTCAAGTCGATGATGTTTCTTTAAATTTAACGAATTTTTCCATTGGGTGATGGATGGATAATACGGTGTATAATTCAGTGATCATTGAGATATATTTTTTATTCAACTATGAAGTGATTACTCTTAGCGAAAATTAGCAACCATTGATACACATTTTTAAGTTCAGTTATTAAGTAGTAACATATAACAAAGTTTAATAACTAATCATATAATCTAGCCTTAAAATTATTATGACAATATAACCATCCTTAGAACAATAATTATTTGATCTTGGGATAAAGGATTTTTTTTTTTTTTTAGACATTTTGTTCATTTCAGTAAGACATTAAGTGCATATCGCAGGGATGTTGAAAGCATAATCATCAACCCCTAACTGGTCACTGACCTAGATAAACAATAGGTTAATAGTTCTATCAGTGGATATATGGTTCAATCGGTGAGTCATTGTTGATTTATACATCTAAGAAAATGTATTTTTTAAGTTAAAATTTTACATTGTCCAAACAATTTGAATGTCATAGTATTAACAATTCTGCTTCTCGTCGATCGGGGGGGGGGGGGTGGTGCCTCCTATTGGACAGGGGCCCCTGTTTCCCCCGTCCCCAACTCTGGATAGGGGGCTTTTTTCTAGTATTAAATAGACATTGATGATGATATTGTGCAAAGTGTTAAAAGATCGAGGACACGAGTGTCACAAATGAAAGATCCAGAGAGTGGGGCCATCGACGAGCTTACCCTAAAACTTTATGATTACATTTTCCCGCTAAATTTATTCATCTACGAAGCTCGAACAAAAGTATTCTGGAGTCTTCCACTTCACTACACATTCAAAATTTTGTTAAACTTTCCTATTTGCTCTTCAGTAGGTCTCGAATTTTCAATTTCAAGTTCACGATGGTACGAATCTCTACATGTTGAAATCCCTATTATTTCCGTTCAACGATTTCCCGAACCGATGTATAGACCTAACGTTTCATGTCGAGATTACGTTTAACATTTTATTCACCTACTGATTTGCTTACTTTGTGTGGAAACGTTGAAATTTGTGTTTATTATTATCCGTTTATTTCTGATACTCGTAAGTCGGATTTATTTTGATGATATTATGCATTTTAATGGAGATTGCGGTATTGAAAATGATTTGTAGGATTAACTTGTGAGGCAGGATATTTTTCCCCCTGAAATTGGTTAATGACGTTGAGCATTACAAAAGGGAAATCTCTGTATTACGACTGCAATGCTCCGAAATCGAACTATTTTGGGAAATTCATAATGTCAATTTCATTTAAAACACGCACCTCGAACAATTTTGCTTTGTATTCTTTTCCTCCCCCCCCCCCCCCCCC